TTTACATGCAGATTTGCAGCCTTTGCAATTTCTAAATAAATCTACTCTGTTAAGATAGCATTGAACTGTTAAAACATTTAGGCCTCAGTGGACATAAAGCTTCAAAGGAAAAACTGGAATTAGCTCAGGCTTCTGGCATATACCTAGGTCATTTTCTCTCTACAGAAGGCATTTCTATTGATCCCAAAAGAAAAGAGGCAATGCCGCTTTTCCCTTGCCTAAGACTAGAAAATAATAAAGGGGATTTCTAGGTCTTTGTAGCTATTGTAAAGCTTAGATTCCTAATTATTCTGTAATGATACAAACTTATGTAAATATTTAAAAGCCTCTAAACCTGATCCATTCTATCTTATCCCCAAAGGTCAAGAGGTGATAACTAAAAAGAAGCTTTGATTAAAACACCTACTTTAACCTCTAGGTTCTTAAAGGCTTGTGAGCAGCCATCTAAGATACTCCACTGGTCTCACCCTGTCTGGAGCAAGGGAGAATGCAGAAAACCAAAGACACAAGGGAAAGATTAGTTCCAAGGACTAATGGACCACAACTACCACAGCCTTCACAAGACTAAGTCCAGCACAACTAGATGGTGCCTAGCTACCACCACCAACTCCTTTGACAGGGATCACAATAGAGGGTCCCAGACAGAGCTGGAGAAAAAATGTAGAACAAAATTCTAACTCACCAAAAAAAAAAAAAAGACCAGATTTACTGGTCTGACAGAGACTGGAGAAACCCCGAGAGTATAGCCCCTGAACACCCTTATGGTTCAGTCATGCAGTCATTCCTGAGGTTCGCCCTTTAGCCAGAGATTAAACAGGTCCATAAAACAAAACGAGACTAAATGGGCACACCAACCCAGGGGCAAGGACAAGAAGGCAGGAGGGGACAGGAAAGCTGGTAATGGGGAACCCAGTGTCAAGAAGGGGAGAATGGTGGCATGTCGTGAGTTGGTAACCAATGTCACAAAGCAATATGTGTGTGTATTAGTTGTTTAATAAAAAACTAGTTTGTTCTGTAAAACTTCGTCTGAAGTAAAATTCAAAAAAAAAATCTGCTGTAAGATTTCCTAACTATCATTTAGACTTCACACTGTTGTACTTGAAGTTTCTGGTAATGCAGTAAGTGTTCTTACTCAGAAACACAGGGGACAAAGTAGACCTGTGGGTTACTGTAGCCTACGGCTGAACCCTGTAGCCACAGCCTACCCCAAATGTCTTAGGGTAGTCGCCAGAATTATCTACTTATCCATCAACTCCCTGTTTCAGTCTTTCTCATACGTGGATAGAATATTCTACTCTGGTCACAAGATGTGAAGTTTTGGTTAATAGTGCTCAGTATTATCAACCACTGTATTGAATTTAATCCAGATCTTCCTGTTTCTGCTTGCCTCCAGAAACACCCAAATTTTGGAAAATTGCCTGTCTGTAATGACTCATTAATTATAACCTAGCTTAAAAGAGCCAATCAGTCCATTCCATTTCCTGACATCCATACTAGAAAAAGCATGTTATCTACCACATCTGGATATGTCTTTTTATGTAGAGGATCAACTTATGAACAGTGATCAATTGAATAGTGTCCCCCACAAATATGTATATCAATTTGGCTAGGCCATGATGCCCAGTATTGTGTGATTGTCCACCATTTTGTCATTGGATGTGATTTTCCTATGTGTTGTAAAAATCCTTCCTCTATAATGTTAATGAGTGGGGATAGGTGGCAGTTATGTTAATGAGGCAAGACTCTATAAGATTGGATTGTGTCTTGAGCCAATTTCTTTTGGGATATAAAAGAGAAAAGTGAATAGAGAGACAGGAGGACCTCATATCACCAAGAAAGCAGCCCGGGAGAAGAGTGCTTCCTTTGGACCTGGGGTTCTTGCACGGAGAAGCTCCTAGTTCAGGGGAAGGTTGATGACAAGGACCTTTCTTCAGAGCTGACAGAGAAAGTCTTCCCCTGGAACTGATGCCCTGAATTTGGACTTCTAGCCTACTAGACTGTGAGACAATAAACTTCTGTTTGTTAAAGCCATCCACTTGTGGTATTTCTGTTATAGCCACACTGGATGGCTAAGACAGCAGCAAAAAAGTCCAATAATTCATCTAATACTTGGGCTTTGATGGGTTTAGCTGGCTCAAGTGTGTTAGGCCAATGTACTCTAGGAATATTAGGAGTTCCCATGAGTACCCATTCATACAGTGACAGCTTACTATGGAACAGTGATTCAGAATTAATATCCAGACAGAAGAGAGATCTTGTCCTTACAAGCAATCACATAGCTGACTACTCAGGATAGGGATAGTCTTTCTTAAGTGCTGCTATACCATGGTTTGTAATTGTGTGATTAGAAATGTCCATTTGTAATCTCTCTGCCCTATGGTCCAAACTGCTGATAATGTTAATGAAATAATTACACAAAAAGAAACTTTAGAGTCCTTAGCAAAGGTTGTATTGGACAACCAAATTGCATTAGATTTTATTTTAGTTCAGCAAAGAAGAATTTGTGCTGTCTCTGATATTTATAACTATATTCATAACAACTTTCTTCTACTATCTGTTCTGTATTCCCTGATTACCTGACCTCCATAAGCCCCTACTCTGACTGGAGAACCACCGCAGTTTTTGGGTTCTCTGTAATTATTGTCAGTACATAACCAAATGTGGAGTAATTCCCCAAAGTCTTACTATTTTCTTTTCCCAAATGCACAATGTGATGGTTTATGCTTCAACTTGTCTACACAATAGTGTCCAATTGTTTGGTCAAACACTAGTCTAGATGTAATAAACTATTTACATGTGATTAAATCAGTTGACCTTAAGTATAACAGTGAGGCCCCATAATCTTAGTGGGTCTCATCAAATCAGTTGAAGACCTTAAAAATCAAAAATGAAAGTTTTTCAAGGGCGTATTCTGCTCCAGAAGATAAACAGACAACTTACCAGAATGTCACTGGCTTCTCCATCAGCTGACCTACCAATTTTGAGACACAAGACTGCCATATTTTCCAGTGTGGCCTACATATTTTGGACTTGCCAGCCCCACAATCACCTGAGTTTATTCTTCAAATATCAATCAATCTCAGGCTATCTATGTATGTATATTTATATCTATCTATTTATTGATCATCTAACTATTATACTGGGTCTGTTTCTCTAAAAATTCTGACTTTGACACACAATCACTCTGTTAAAAGGCTGTAGATATTTTGGAAAAAGCTGTGAGAAATATTAACAGTATAACTTATTGGAAGTATAGTGCAGTCCTACCTCAAAGGACAAGGACTTCCATTCTTTCAAGGGATTCTGAGTGTAAAAACTGGCTCAAGTCTAAATATTGATTGAAGGGTCATGACTCTCTCTTTTAGTGATTCAAAACAGACTTCTGTTCACTCAACCTAGAGCTCTTCCACTTATAAAAATTAAGTATTTAGTACACTGCCTATCTATTTCTCTTTTATGGAGACTATAATCAACCATAGGTCTCTGCTAGTCAGACTATTCCCATTAATGTTTTGACTCCTCTGTCCATTGTGGTAACCATACACACCTTGTCCTTGGTGATTAAGTGCAACCCCTTGGGCTCTGCCAACTGGGATTCAATTATCCCCATTGCAGCACTTAAGGATTCCAAGTTAAGTGGCAGCAATTCCCACTGTAAATTCTGACCTACAGAGAAGAGCAACCACAGAGCTCTTTAAGGATACTTGGACTGTTCTGTCCTATTTTTTCTCAAAGTATGAAAAATGTGTCCTCTGAGCTCTTTTGGGACAGATGGGCAGGTCTAATCCCTTGAACTATGAAATTGAATTTAGAATCTCTGCTTAGTGGACCCATATTACTAAATTCACAGTGATTCAACTTTATGTTCCTTCCACTATTATCCCACATACTTAATATCCATTCTCACACATATTCTACAGATTTCTGTTTGTATAAATTGGAATAATCATGTAGTTTTTTGAAGTGTAGAAAACTTATGTGTTATACATTGTACCTTATCTTTTTGGGCCTGATAGTATTTGAATCGAGTTATAATCCAGAAGACAAGATGAGTGGCTGGGTGGGTTCTGAGAAGAATCAGCAGTGTCTTGCAAGCAAACTACCTGTGGGGTTGCCATTACAGGTTCTCTTGGAAAAGCAGGGTTAATTTATTAAACCTCAGACAGGGTTGTAAGTGCCTTCAATGTCCCCAGCTTCATATGTCTGCCCATATGAATCCATTTCAATTTTGAAGATCCCATTCCTTTCCAATCAATGTCCTCACTTTAACAGAAGACACCCTGCAAGGGTGGGAAATCAATTTGCATTATAATTCAGCAACTCACAAGTTGAGACTCTGGGTTTTGTTTTCTGAAAGCTCAGTCTTTTAACTATAGAAGAAAAGGTGTTTTTTCAGGGAAGATGTAGAAAATTTAAGTCATTTATGGGGCACAACTTCTGGGAATTTGAAGCCTACAGAAGATCCTTTTATTTCTCCATTTCCTCCAAAGCAGTTAAGAGTAACCACCCAATCTCAAACTCATTAGTTTCACACAAATTTTGTAAGGTATCCATATACACGTTCATTCAGAACCTTGCTTTCTGTAAGTATTATATTAGGAATATACAGTGGTGATATTTTCCATATCTCTACCACCACATCTGATCGTGAGTTATTAGTGCCCTTTTTACACATGAGGAGTCCCTGGTGATGCAGTTAAGTACTCACATACTAACGAAAATGTTGGCAGTTCTAATCCACCCAGAGAAGCCTCAGAAGAAAGGCCTGGTGATCTACTTCCAAAAATCAACCATTGAAAACTCTGTGGAGCACAATTCTACTCTGACACACCTTAGGTCACCATGAGTCAGAAACAACTTATCAGCAACAGGAAAAAAAATAATTCTTTGCTCTGTTTCAGAGTGATAACACAGTAATAATTCAGTTAGGGAGGTATTAAGGCATGGTGACCAATATAATTTTGCAGAATATGGAGAATAAGAGATAAATTTCTGTCATGAAACACAAAAGCTCCCCATAATAGAGTGGATTTTAAGTGGATCTTGAAGGAATAGGGGATATGGAGAGGAGAGTTCAGGAAAACTACCAGGAAGAAGTTAATGATGGCCCATTGGAGGGGATTTGCAAGTACAGGACAAGAGCAGTCAGATAGTCTGGCTTCTTTAGGCAGGAATGAAGCAGAGCTGATATGAGGGCGGCACAGAGGTAAGCCCATTGGCCACTGGGGTAGTGTCAATGTGTTTTGGGTCAACCAGAGACTTCAAGGTAAATTTCTGTAAAATGGCGGTCAGGAATAAAAACAGCTCCATGCGGGCCAAGCTTTCTCCCACACAATTTCGTCTTCCTGAAAATAACAAACACAGAGGTTAGATACTCCTTGGACACTATGCTTTTAATCTGGTACAGAGAGAATATGCAGTAAATACTTGATGAATAATTACATACATGGATGGAGGAAAAGCAGGATGGATGGAAGATGGTTGCTTAGATAGATGGACAGAGGTATGAACAAACTTGCTATCCAGCTGCCTTATCTTAGCAAAAACCTTCATTCAAGAAATATTTATTTTGAGCTCTATACTAAGTACTTTTTTAAGTATCATAGATTGTAGCTGTTGTTTTGACGTTTCAAGTTTCCTTCAATCTTTTTCTATAAACCACCTACATTGCTTGTCCGAGAATATTAAAGGGAGAAAGTCTAACAGGGGGCTCATATATCTTGTTCCCCTCTGTACCTCTGGCATGAATTTAGTCAAACATTATGTTTCCCTCATGTACTTTCAAAAGCACTTGTCTAAACATACCTCTTCCACACTTTACAACTTTAAATGGCTCCCCAAGGCTGTGTTCCAGGTTAAGGTCAAATTGGTTGACTGGCTTTTCATATTATGTTTCCAGTCTGACTTCCGTGACCTTCCCTCCAGTCTTCATACCCTACACCCTCAGCTCTCACCATACTCACTCTTCATCAATTTCCAACACACTATGCAGTTTCAAGATTTATTTCATGATTTTTCTTTGGCTAAGATGCACTTCCCTTATACTTTCTTCAATAACTAGGTCAAACGTAATTTTCTCATTAAATGTGACCCCCTTTGGCAGTAGAATCCTGCCCTTGATTGATTTCCTCAGCATCATATTTATCATAGTCTTGCTTTCATTGAAGTAAAAAAATCACCTTGAATCAGAATCTTATCATTATTTATTCTTCATTCCTACTAAAATGTGAGTTTCTTAAAGGTAGTGTACAGTCCTTTGCCATCTGGGCATTTGTCATGCCGGATCCAATGCAGGCATCAAAAGCCAAATAATTGAAGAAGATTATTCCATGACCAGAGACTCAGCTGACACACAGTAAGTGTTAAAACCTCAATATCCAAGAAGGAACATCATGAATGGAAGAAGATCGGGTGCTCTGAAATCATTGTATGGTACTCTGACACATTCCCATGGTTTCCCTGTCCCTACTGTTAACTGGCAGACAGTTCTAACGTCTTTGATATAGACCAAATGTCCTATCCTGTCTTTGTGGTTAATTACATAAGGAAAAATAGCCTGCTCCTCAAATGTACACCAACAAATTAGATAACCTAGATGTAATGCACAAATTCTTAGAAATATCTAAACTTTCTATACTGACTCAACAAGAAATGGAAGACTGCAACTAATCCATAACAAGCAATGAGATTAAATCAGTAATCAAAATCTCCCTAAAAACAAAATCCCTGGACCAGATGGTTTGACTGAGGAATATACCAAATATTTATAAGAATTAACTCCACTACGTCTTAAACCTATTTGAAAAACAGAAAAAGAGGGAACAATTTCTAACACATTGTATGAGGCTAGTATTACTTTGACAAGGCAGACAAGGACACCACAAGAAAAAAAAACTACACACCAAAATTCCTTATGAGTATAGATGAAAACATCTTAAACAAAATACTAGTAAACCTAATCCAAAAGCATATTAAAAGGATTATACACCATGATCAAGTAGATTTTATCTTAGGAATGCAAGGTTGGCTCAACACTAGAAAATCAATCAATATCTTATAGCACATTAACAGAACAAAAGAAAAGAACTACATGATCATCTCAATTGATGGAGAAAAGACATTTGATGAAAATACAACATCATTTCATGATAAAAAAAAGTCAACAAGCTAGGAATATGAGGGATAGTCCTCAAGTAATAAAGGACACTTAGGAAAAGTCCACAGATAACCTCAAACTAAATGGAGAAAGACTGAGAACTTTCCCTTTAAGATCAGGAACAAAATGAGGATGCCCACTCTCACAACTGCTGTCCAACTTTATACTGGAAGTCTAAGCCAGAGCATTCAGGCAAAATAAAGAAATAAGAGGTATGCAACTGGGAAATTAGAAGTAAAACTATCCCTTTTTGCTGAAGTCATGATCTCATATATAGAAAACCCCAAAGAATCCACACAAAAGCTGATAGAACCAATAAACAAATTCAGCAACGTGACAGGATAAACACAAAAATCAATCAGGTTTCTACATATCACCAATGAACATTCAGAAAAGAAAATTAAGGAAACAAGTCCATTTGCAATAGCATCTAAAATAATAAAATACCTTGGAATAAAATTAACCAAAGATGTAAAAGACTTGTACACTGAAAACTATAAATCTTTACTGAAAGAAATTAAAGATGAACTAAATAAATGTAGGGGTATTCTGTTTTCATAGACTGGATGGTTTACTATTTTTAAGATGTCAATATTACCAAAAGCAATATATAAATTCAATGAAATACCCAACAAACTGAAACATTCTTCTTTGCAGAAATGGGAAATCAAATCCTCAAATTTATGTGTAACTATATAGGGCTCCTGATAGCTAAAGCACTCTTAAAAATGCAACAAAGTAGGAGGACTCACACTTCCAGTTCTCAAAGCATAGTATAAAGCTACAGTAATCAAAAGAGTTGGGTACTGATCAAATGATGGGTATATTCACTAAAGGAATAGAAATGCAATTTTAGTAATAAACCCACACATTTATAATCAATTGATTTTTTATGAGGATGCTAAGTCCATTCCATGAGGAAAAGAATAGTCTCTTTAATAAGTAGTGCAGGGACAACTGGATCACACCAAATAAAAAAAATCAACTCAAAATATATCAAGAACCTAAATGTAAGAAGTAAAACCATAAAGCTCTTACAAGAAGACATAGCAGTAATGCTCCGAAATTTATTATTTAACAATGGATTCTTAGATATGACAACAAAAACATGAGCAAAAAAAACAACATAGATAAATGGGACTTCATTGAAGTTTAAAAAATTTGTTCATCAAAGGAGTTTATCAACCTACAGATTAGGAAAACAATTTTAGGGACTGTATATCTGATAAGGTTTAATATCCAAAACATATAAAGAACTCCTAAAACAAAAAGACAAAGAACCCAATCAAAAAAACAAAAAGGGCAAAGAACATGAATAGACATTTCACCGAAAAAGAAATACAAATCGCCAGCAAGCATATGAGAAGACGCTCAAGTCATTTGTCACTAGGAAAATACAAATCAAACCACAATGAGATATCAATTCATCCCCACTAAGGTGACTACAACTCAAAAAAAAAAAAAAAATCAGAAAAGAAGAGGTGCTGGTAAGGATGTGGAGAAATTGTGACTGTAAAATGGTACATCTGCTGTGAAAAACAGTTTGAGGTTCCTAAAAACATTACCACTTGTTCTTCTAAAGTAAGAAAGCTAGCGAAGGGGTTATTTGGCCTCGCTTCCAGATAATTCACTGAGCAACAAACAACTCGACTCCTAGGTATACGCCTAAAAGAATTGAAAGCAGGACTTCTGGGCAACATGGCGCTATAGACAGAAGCACCATGCCGTCCCTCCACAGCAACAATCTGAAAAACTAAGTCAAACAGAGACACACATCAATCCTGAAACCCTAAGCATCAAATAAAGAGATAAAGAACTCAGCCAAGCACTGAATGGAATAAGAAACTGACTGAGAACAGAGAGTGAGGAGAGATACACGGAGAGGTCCCCTATCAGCCATCACAGCACAGATCCACCATCTTGGACTCCTATCAGAGACTGGTGAACAGGGGGTACAAGAAAGCAGCTTCACAGAGTTCCCAGCAGGAGACAGAACAACTGGTAACCAGCGATATACGCTTTCCCACCACCCACAATTCTTTACCCCCACTCAGCCTCCTCTGCTTCCTGTGGCCACAGTCTCTTAGCTGGGAAGCACTGGCTTCACCCCAGTGTTGCTTGGATTCCACCTGCCCACACTGGCTGGCTCCCTGAGTGCCATTTGTTGGCTGCTTGTGCTTTTCCCTGCTTCTTTAGATTTCTTCCTTACCTCTCATGACTCCCCCCCCACCCCCCGCCAAATACCTAGCTCCGTGGGCATCTATGCTTCTTCCTAAAAGGCTGCGAAACACTGCTGACTGTGAAACTGCTTCCTGGCCTGTGCCGCCACGCTGGTGGGATCCCTGGGGCCTTTTTTGTTTGTTTGTTTTTTGTGATTTCTTCTGTTTTGATTTGTTTGTTTTCTTTTTCTTTTCTTGGCTTGGGAGCCCCTTCTAGCCAAGCAGTACTGCATGGCTTGGGAAGTACTTCCTTACTCTGTGCAGACGCACAGTGACATACCTGGGGGCATTTCTTTTTTCTTTTTCTTTTTTTTGTTTCTTTGTTTTGTTTTCTTCTCTCTCTTTTTCCCTTTTTGTCTTTCTTCACTTCCACTTTCTCGTCTCTCTACACTTGCCTTCTCTTCCTGTCTCCTGAATACCTGGCATTGTGTGACACCTCTACCCCTTCTAGCCAAGCTGTACTTCACAGCCTGGAAGCAACTTCCCCATTCCTACCAGCTGCACCAGTGGGATCCCTGGGGGCTTTTCTTTTCTTTTTTCCTCTAATTTTTATTTGTTCTTTTTTTTCTTTTACCCTTTTTCTCTTTTTCTTTCCTTTTTGTTTTTCTCCATTTCTGTCTCTCATCTCTCCACTCCAACAGCAAGTTCTCTTAGCACTCTTTTTTGTTTATTTGTTTCTGTGTATGTTTTTGGCTCCTGTTCATCTCTCCTCTCTCTCCTCTTTCCCATATCCATCTTAGGTCCACACATCACAGTCTCCCCCTTCCTTCCTGCCTACCTGCACTGCGCACTGAACATCACACCCCCAAGCAGCACAAGCATGGCCTACTGGAACCTGTCCTGCACTGATTCCCGGCCCACCTTGTCAGCCCTAATATGTGCCACAAACAACCCATTCCAGCAACTCCCTTTCAGCTGGACCTGCCGTGCTGTAACATACCTTAGTGACTGACCCTGCCCATTGGAGAAGGAGGTGAAAAATATCATGCCCAGAGACAAGCAAACAACAAAGAATGCACAGTCCGCCTGCTCAGACATAAACAAATAAAACAAAAAATCAGGACAAAACAAACAAATCTACAACCAATAAACAAGGAAAATAACTACTGAATGCCCTGAAGACAGCAGACAATATCAAAACATATACAAAAACAGGACAGGATAGTTCCAGTAGGCATCCAAAATAAAACACCAAATGACATTCCAGTAGAAGAAAAGGCACTAGAACTACCTGATAGGGAATTCAAACCTCTAATACTCAGAATTATCCAAGAGTTGAAGCAAAAAGCAGACGAAAATGAGGAAAATATAGACAAATTCATGGAAAATACAGACAAAAAAATTGGAAGAATTCAAGAAAATAACACAGGAACAAAATGCTCAAATAAATTCACAACTAGAAATCATACAAAAACAACAATTAGAAATCCAAAAGATAAACAACAAGATTTCAGAAATGGACAGTGTCATAGAAGGGCTGAG